TATATATGTCCAGGCAGAGAATGTCCGAGTGTATGGGAATGGCAATACACACTGTGACTGGCTCATCCATAGGGCTCATCGTGTTTGAGGGCGGGGCTTAGCCATAGGTCAGTTGATCTTGAGAGCACTTACAATATTTGATGAAAATGAATACAACAGTGTATTAATAATGAAAAAGATATCAGATACCTACCTCTCCTGTTCTGTTTTTTTATGTGTTTTCTGTTCCGTTATGATGTCAAGAAAAATGAATGTTTCATTTATTTTTTATCCGTGTAAAGCACAGAGCCACTGGACTGCCTGACTGTGTTATTTTGTTTGGCACCACAGGGCCACTGCAGCTCTACCAGCATGAAATGTCAAAAGTCACTTAAAATCTGGAAAGTAACTAACATGTACATCTTAACATTTCCATGAGGTGGTACAAATTGCTAAATTACTTCTGTAAATAGTGAGGAACCATATATTTTCTAGAGTCATACGTCTGTGATGTTAAAAAAAATATATCATAGTGAAATTTGAAATATACTGCTTGTGCAAAATTATGTAATGTAACCATATAAAATATCATTTCCACAGAGTTGGTGAGTGGTGAGATTTGAAGCTTTAGGACAGTTAGCGTTCACCTGATCTTATGACTGAATCAAACCTTTAAATCCAAGGAGGCACATACAAGCTCATTTTGAACAGATAAAGCTGTTTTTCTTTTTTACACAGAATGTGAATTTTGTTGAATATTATATCACATTATATTACTGATATTATATATTGACATCATATGTAAACAACTTAGTGACTATGTCATAGGCTTGAAAATGGAACACTCTCAGGCCCAGACTCTTGCAACAATTTTAAATACAGGGGTCACCATTGGAAAACATTCAAGACATTCCGGTCAGCAACACATCATCATTCACTCAACGTACATTAGCCCTGCTATCACTCTTGACTGGTAACTGGGCTGTTGTAATCTCAATATATAGTAGTTCTGCTCTTAACTTCAAATAATATTTTACTTAACACACTGAGTACATTTACACATGCACTACACCTAAACTAAATAACATTCCTCACAAAATTAGAAAAAAACTCGTTAAACATGTCTGCTTTATTTTACTGTTTCATGTTCACTATCAGCTGTATAGGGGTCATGTAAAGCTACTGCTGATGAACTCAACATTTTGGTGTGCTTCACAATAGATAAAAAGAGTTTAAAGGAGATTAAATGCATTTATCACCGAATTAGCGTTACTTTGTCAGGAGCTTTTCTTCAATAAAGGCAAGTCTAATAATATC